ATAGGCTCTAAAGTTTTACATTGTTTGGTTTTCAGTGCAGTTATGTAACAACAACAAAATCCACATTTAAAAATTGAACTTTCAGGATAAAGCAATTACACTACAGTATCTGTCTGAGATAAATTCAAAAATATTCTTTTGCTTATCATTTTTACAATGCAAATATTTTAATAACTATTAGTAAGCATGGTATACTTTATATTCCATGTTTTAACAGAAATCAATATATTTGAAAATGAAAAATAAAACAATAAATTTAACAATTTTCAGTTGGTAGTATATTCTTTAACAGTATGATTAATCATGACTAATTTTTGAAATCATGATTAATTTTTTGAGTTAACTGCATGAGTTAATTGCAATTAATAGGCAGCCCTAAAATTAATATTTCATTTGTGCATTGCAAATGGTTGGAAAGCTATAAAACAAATGAGCAAAAAATTCCAGACCACTCTATTATGAGCCAGATTCTAATCTGGTGTAAATCAATGTCATTCCATTGACTTTGGTGGAAATATGCCACTCTACAGCAGCTGAGGATCTGGCCCAATAGTTTATTTATGAAAATTTAAACGGCGTAACATGAGAAATAAGTACACACAGAGCACGTCTACACTGCAAGGTAAGGTTGAATCTAATGTGGTCGATTTCTGGGCATCCGATTTTATGAAGTTGAAGGTCCATGTCCTCACTGCAAAGAAGAATCAAACGAAGTCTGAAACAGTGGGGCCTCATTAGGGAGTCTTCTGTCAATTCAGAGAATGATGCACCATGGGTAGCTTTGCAGCTTTGCTATCCTTCCGGTGCCCACTGGGCCCAAAATTCTGCCATCGTTGGTTAGAGGGGCTCATGTCGGTTGCATCTCATAAGGCACTCCCCTAGTCCCTCCCCCCTTGCGTGAGATGAAGGGGAGGCAGTGTGCTTATACCTTTTTATACCCTGGTTGCCCATGTGGATGCCAGAGCACAATGACCATGGAGCCCGGTGTGCTGGAAAGCATCGTCATGCTCATGGGTGTCATGGTGCACCTCATGGCACTGTGCTTTGAGAACCTACGCTTGTTGCTTCGCCAGCAAGAGGAGGAGGATGAAGCTTGGTATGGCATAGAGGCCCACCTCTGGCAAGGCCTTGCGCTCATGCCAGTGCCCCCACCAGCCAATGCTCTGGACACAGTGGAACACGGTGAGTTCTGGCATCATGAGAGGAGCTCAGACTGATGGTACCGCATTGTGATGCAGAGATGGGACAAGCAGCAGAGGCTGCCGAACTTGCACATATAGAAGGCCACTTTCCTGGAACTCTATGAATGGCTCACCCCTGCCCTGAGGTGCCAGGATACTCACATGAGACGAGCTGTGACTGAGGAGGAGCATGTAGCAATTGCCCTGTGGAAGTCTGCCATCCTAAATAGTTACTGTTCAGTCAGGAATCAGTTCAGGGTGGGGAAATCTACAGTTGGGCTCTTCTCATACAAGTAGCCAAGGCCATCAATAACATCCTGCAACAGAGGGTTGTGGCTTTGGGGAACATGGACAACATTGTGGAGGGCTTTGCTGTCATGGGCTTCCCTAACTGCGGGGATGCCATAGATGGAACGCACATCCTCATCATGGCACCCGAACACGGTGCCTCGGAGTACATCAACCACAAGCGGAACTTCTCCATGGTGCTGCAGGCACTTGTGGATCACAAGGGCTGCTTTACCAACATCATTGTGGGATGGTCGGGAGAGGTGCATGACGCCTGCATCTTTCAGAACTCCCACCTCTTCCGAAAGATACACACCAGAACTTTTTTCCCCAACTGGACAATCAGAGTCGGAGACGTGGACATGCCTATTGTGATCGTGGTTGACCCAGCCTCCCTCTTGCTCCTGTGGCTCATGAAGCCTTACGTGGGCAGCCTGGACCCTAGCAAGGAGGAACAACAGGCCGAGCAGGTGCAGACTAGTGATGGAATGTGTGTTTGGATGTTTAAAGGGGAGGTTCAGGAGTCTCCTGACCTACATGGACCTAAGCAAATGCAACATTCCCTTCATAGTGGAGACCTGTTGTGTGCTCCATAACCTGTCTGAGAACAAGGGGGAAACTTTACTGGCAGTGTGTGGGGCTGAGGCAGAGTGCCTGGCCCAAGAGTTTGAGCAGCCGGACACCAGTGTCATAAGGAAAACATGGCAAGCAGCAGTGCGAATCAGAGACACCTTTAAGGACAGTTTTATGCAAGGCCTCTTTGTAGATTCTTCCCCATGGATCTCCACAAGGTGCCCCTGCATTCTCTGTGTTTCCCTTTAATCCTCCATCCCACCCCACCCTCCTCCTACTTTCAGATAAAGTAAATAGGACTACCTATGCTGTGGTTCCTATGATGTGGAGATGTCTTCTGTAATCAGCTTCCTCAGCTCACAGGTAATGCTTAGCCCTGTATTCTATTCACTTCAATGGAGTACAGTAGGGATAGGCTTGGCCCAATATTGGATGCTCGGTAGCCTACACACGAGCATTTTTAAGTGGTTGGAAACAAAAATCTGTATCTGTTATCACTATGTAAGCTACCAAAATCACAGAACCGGTTGTTGTTGCATCTTGGATGGGCTCCCTCTGTCTGAGGAACACAGGCTGCAGGATGTGTCCAGGAGGTCCACTCTGGCATGATAAATGTAGAAGTGAAGGCCAGCAAGTGTACCCCAAAGCCTTATCTACCAGGCTTCGGTATAAAACTTCCCCCAAAATCTTAAAAACCTAGATCTTGGGAATGAAACTTCCACTGCCACCACCCAAATGTTGATAAAGAAATCAGGGGAAAGATCATTTGGGAAATCTCACCCCTAAAATAAAAATCAGGGCACACTATTAACCAATGCCAGGTTAATAAAAAGAAAGGAAAGAATTTTTATTATTACAACAATATTCCTGTTGCAAACATAATGACTAGAGAGGAAGGTAACAAAATATACTCATAGAGAAACTCCATGGGCCTAGAACTTAGTTACAAAGAAAAGCCAAAACATCTTTTAAACAGTGCCAGATCTCAGATCCCATACCCAATCCTTAAAATAGTAAAACCTAACGAAACTACCTAAACTTTACCCTACTTACAGAAAATGGAGAATGGTGTCTTGGAGAGAGAGAGACATGCTTGTCCCTCTCTGTAGCTGCAGAGAACTCTCACAGAGACACAAAAGGAGAAAGGAAAAAACCCAAATGCCTTTGTCCCAGGTTGAAAGTCCCACTTACATTCCTACTGGTCACTCCACCTGGCTAGGTGTAGTTAACCCCTTAATCCCCAGGCTGCTGGCTAACCCTCATAATCATGACAGAGGGGGACCCTGCCAGGGCTCAAGTTTTGCCTGTCCTGCTGTGTCCTACTGCTCACTCTCTGTGTTGCTCCCCTGGTCTCTGGCCCCAGCACTAGCCTTGCCCAGACTCACCCCCCAGATGGCATGATTTACTCCCTTTCAGACTGCATCCCTCTCCTGCCAATACCATGCACTGCTGCCCCAGTCTCCAGTCCCAGCAGTAGGGCGTGCACCTTGTGGAAGCAGGTCTGGTCAGGGCTAGCATGGGGACTGGAGACCAGGGCAGCAGAGTTGCCAAATTTCTACTTGCATAAAACCAAACCCACCCTTTCTCCTTCCCTTCTCTGAGGCCCCGCCCCAGTCTCTCCATCTTTTCCTCCCTCTGTCACTCTCCACACCCTCACTCACTCATTTTCACCAGGCTGGGGCAGGAGGTCGAGGGTGTGGGGCTGCTCTGGGTTGGGAGAGGTTCAGAGGGTGGGAGGCAGATCAGGGCTGAGACAGGGGATTGGGCACGGGAGGAAGATCTGGGGCACAGGCTCCAGGCAATGCTTACTTCAAGCATCTCTCAGAAGCAGTGGCCTGTCCCCACTCTGTTTCCTACGTAGAGGCATAGCTAGGTGGCTCCATGTGCTGCCCCATCCCCACTGCACCCATTGGCTGCAGTTCCCTGCCAATGAGAGATGCAGAACTGGTGCTAGAGCAGAGCCAAGGCAAGTAGGGACGCTGCTTTGGCCTGACTGCACCAACCAGATTTTTGACAGCCTGGTCAGTGGTGCTGACTGGAGCTGCTGGGTCCCTTTTGAAATTGCATTCCAGTAGGAAACCAGACATATGGCAACGCTACCCAGGGCAGCAGCACACAACTCCAGCAAGAGGGGATGGACACCAAACTGGGTTTTGAGAGTCCCAGCTTGTGGATGCAGGGCTCCACACCCAAACTGAGTGTATGTAGATGCCAAATGGATGGGCTGCAGCCCAGCCAGACCCATCTGTGGCTATGCCCCAGTTCCAGGAACAACCCCCTTCTCCGACACCCGTTTTACTAGTCAGACCCAACAGCCCAAAGGCTTGGGCCCAGAAACTTAGACCACCTCTCCCAGCACAGCTATTGAGTCCCTTTGAAGTGGCAGACCCTATGATTCATTGCTTTCCCATATGAGGGCTACAAACCAGTGAAATCATGTTACAGACCGTACATACATGCTCTTAGGCAGCACCAACCAAATGTACATCTTCAGAAAAACAATATCGGCATGCAGTTCCAACCAGCTGCCTTCTCAGGACCAGTTCTCATTCAGGCAGCTCTAGTTCTACTCCTCTACTGGCATACGAGCCCTAGGATTACCTCCCTGAGTATCTACACCCTCTCTCAGGGAACCACTAGGTCACTCCAATCATTCCTCTGCTGCCTGCCTTCTGACAGGCCTTTATAGCACTAGGTGCAGACCTGGCTTCTTTAATTGGCTCATTTGAGCTCATCTTCTCTGACATAGGAACCAGCTCCCCTATTGCTGGAGGATGAAAGACCATGGCAGAGAAACTGTATATATGTGTACATCTGCTCTGTGTAGTATAACATGATGAATTATTATAATCAGGCAAAATATGTAAGCACCTTAATTTGACACGAGAAGAAAAGCTATAAACTGTTCCAGATTCTGGGAGTGAGCCTTTAAGAAATCCACTTTTGGTTGTGTTGTAGAAAGAAGGGCCAGGACCAGGTGACTATGAAATGAAGGGGAAACCACCTCATCCTGTATCTTCGTGTTTCCAGTCCAAAATACCTAGGTTGCAGCCAATCCGTTCAGTAAGTAGTCTGAAATATAAACCAACCTACAGGGTATGTTGTCTGCCTGAAATTAATCATGCAGTGTTTAAAGCAACATTTACAAAAAGTATCACACTGACAAATTAGTAAAGAGTAGAAAAGTAGGATTTTGAACTTAAGAAAGAACACACTTTAAGGAATGTTAGCTACAAAAAAAGCCTTTGGAAAGCAGCTAGAGCTATGGAATATTTTCCCTTTTCAGCCATTGGAGTAAATCTAGCCCTAGTGGGGAGCCACACAAAGTCATCCTACTTCTTTGCCAGCTATGGGGTGGCCTATGTGGAATAGGTTTGCTACGTCAGTTTGGTTAATAAGCTTTTTTTGAGGGGCCAGGTTAGCAAACTTCTTATTACACTGATCTGAATAATCTTATTGTGTAATAACTGGAGGTCAGGTGGGCCAGGTGAGGTCACTCAATTATGGTGCAACACAAGAAATGGGACCACCGATCTCCAAAGCTGGTGCTTATTCCAATATTTGTATTTATCAACCCAGCACAAAACAATGCCTGTATTACCTTATTGATTAATCAGTGGTCCAAACAACAGAGTTCCCTTAAAGCCTCAGGCTTCCATCCAGACACCCAAGTCAGATAAAGTTCAACCAATCCCAAAAGGATCAGACATACTAGATTCCAGGTCAATAAATAGTTCAGACCTTATCCCAAATACACACTTACAGCCAATTCTTTTTAACTAAACTAGTATTTTTATTTTGTTTTTTTAAAAGAGAGTATTGGTTAAAAGTTCAATATACATAGAGATATGAGTTCAATTCTTGACATTCAGTAAGAGATGGTGATTTTGAAGTTGCAAAAATTTCTTTTAGAATTTATTCTATGGTTATAGTCCAGAATCCATATTGAAGGTGATTCCAGCCAATGACTGGGATCTCAATCCTTATGACTTAGGTTTCCCCTGTATGAAACCTCAAGCAGTTCTGAGACAAACAGGATCAGGACCCAAGGGCTTTTTATACAGCTCTGAGTAAACAACAGGCTTTTAGTGTAACCTTCTGTTTCCCAAATATTTAAACTATAAAGGTGTTTTTGTAAGCTCTTTCTGGGCCAGCTCTTTATTACTGGCGGCAGCAGGATCTAGAAAATAGATTACTGAATTGGGATTTGGGAGATCTTGTTTCTATTCCCAACTTGATACTTGCCTGCTTGGTGATTGGGTGAGTCATGTCACTGCTCTGTGACTTAGTTTCCCCATCTGTAAAATAAGGATCATAATATTTACCCTCTTTGCAATGTGTTTTGACAAATACAAGAGTGATAAATGAGAGCTAGGTGTTATCTGTTTGCTCGCTCCATGAGGCCGGACCCCAATTAATGGACTTAGGAACTAATGCAACACAAATATTATGAGTAGTAATAATGATACATATTATATTTCTGCAGTGTTACTAATGGTTCATAGTGGTCTTTATTGTACACACATCTCCTGTATTTACTTCCTTGCTTATTTATTTCATTTTTTTATAGAAAATACCTGGTCCAGGAACTTATGAGCCTACAAGACAATTTCCAAAGCAACCACGAACTATTGCAAGCCTGGGTCATGAGCACAGCATCTTCTTTAGCAATACATTTGGGTTTTAGAATAAAGTGGCTGTGTACCTGCTTCTGAAAGAAAGCAACTTTCTCTTCCTCCACCCCTAGAAACGCATTCTTCCCCCCAATATATTTGTCCATGATACTTATCATAAAAAACTCAGCATTTGCCAACAGTTCCAATACTGTGGGACCTGTGATAATACAAGAAATAAATGTGCTAAGTATAGACCAAGTGGAGGAGTTCTGTAATATTTCATATTTGTAAGGTGTTATATGTGCATTTAAGTATTATAAGGCAAGGCTTAAATTGAAGCAAGGGAGGTTTAGGTTGGACATTAGGAAAAACTTCCTGTCAGGGTGATTATACACTGGAATAAATTGCCTATGGAGGTTGTGGAGTCTCCGTCACTGGAGATATTTAAGAACAAGTTGGATAGACATCTATCAGGGATAATCTACATGGTGCTTTGTCCTGCCGTGATGGCAGGGTACTGGACTTGATGACCTATTGAGGTCCCTTCCAGTCATAGTATTTCATGATTCTATGGAACATTGGATAGAAAAGAGTGCAGGCAGTAACAGAAACAGAGGTAGATGGAGGATTTGAGAAGAAAGTTGGAAGTAACTTACACTTGTCTACACTACAAGATGAGCTCAAATCTACTCTGGGGTTATGTCTACACTACATAGCTGTTTTTGCACAAAAACCCACGGATCGTCCACACCTCAAGCGCGTTTTTGTGCAAGAAAATTTACAGTAAAACGGCAGAACATGGGCATTTTGCAATGTAGGTATACCTCTTTCTACGAGGACTAACTCCTTTTTGTGCAAGAGTTCTTGCACAAAAAGATGTGTGTGGATGCCCAAGAGGGGTTTCCTTGTGCAAAAAGAGCCTATCAGAAAAAACACAGGTGCTCTGATGGCCATTCGCAGAATGGCCATCAGAACTTTCTTGTGCAAGAGTGTCCATGCAGTGTGGACACTCTCTTGCACAAAAGCACATCACTTTTGCATTGCACTTTTGAGGTGTGGACGTGATTTTGTGCAAGAAGTTTTTGCGGACGATCTCTTCCGCAAAAAACTTCTTGTGCAAAAACCCTGCAGTGTAGCCAAAGCCTGGGTGAGTTCTGGGCACACAATGTTGAGACGGCAAGGGTCCATGTCCCCAACATAGGCAAGAATTGAATGTTCTTCATAGTAGTACGTCCACATTTATGGAGCCTAACACCAACTCAGAGAGTGAGGAAGCATTGTGGGGAGCTTGGCAATCCGGCCTATGCTTCCAGTGTCCACTGGATCCCAAAATCAGCAGAAAGTGTTTACAGGGGCTCCTCTTGGCCATGTCCCAGAAGGCACTCCTCTACTGCCTCCCTGCAGTGCAACATAAAAGGGACGCAGAGTGCACATGCCTTTTCATGCCCTGGTTGCCTGTACAGATGCCTCAGCACTATGACCATGGAGTCCAAAGTGCTGCAAAGCATTGCCATGCTCATGGCTCTCATGCTGTGCCTCATGGTGCAGAACTTTGAGAGCACCCGCATGATGCTTCACCTGGAAGAGGATGAGGAGCAGGAGGTAAGGAGGAGGATGGGGATGAACCTCAGTGTGGCCGAGAGGCCCTCCTCAGGCAAGTCCTGCTGCTCATGCTGCTGTGGCCAACACTCAATCCTTTGGACACAGTGGGATGCTGTTTCCTGGGAGACAAGCTCAGACTGGTGGGACCACATCATCGTGCAGAGATAGGATGATCGGCAGTGGCTACAGACCTTCTGCATGTGCAAGGCCACCTTCCCGTCTCTGTGTCTTTGCTTCCCCAAAGTGGGAAAATAGTTCTATCTGAACTCATAGAATGTGTAGAGTTTTTGGAGCATATGTGATGTGCTTCACTGATTCCATTTTGTCTTTCAACCCCATGACCTGCCATTGAATAGAATATGTACCGCACGATAACTCAAATGGAGTACTATGTCAACTTCTGGGGCCTCCATTATAGAAAGGATGTGGACACATTGAAGGGAGTCCAGCAGAGGGCAACAAAAATTATTAGGGAGCTGGAGCACATGACTTACGAGGAGAGGCTGAGGGATTTGGGCTTGTTTAGTCTGCAGAAGAGAAGATTGAGGGGGGATTTGATAGCAGCCTTTAACTTCCTGAAGGGAGGTTCCAAAAAGGATAGAGAGAGGCTGTTCTCAGTGGTGACAGATGGCAGAATGAGGAGCAATGGTCTCAAGTTGCAATGGGGGCGGTCAAGGTTGGTTATTAGGAAAAACTGTTTCACTAGGAGGGTGGAGAAGCAATGGAATAGGTTACATAGGCAAGTGGTGGAATCTCCATCTCTAGCGGTTTTTAAGTCCTGGCTTGACAAACTGTGGTTGGGATGGGTCTTGCTTTTAGCAGGGGTGGGCCTCGATGACATCCCAAGGTCTCTTCCAACCCAATGATTCTATGATTCTGTGAAATGCTAGATATGTACAATTACTGTGATGATCATCGGAGTGTGAACAGTAAGGAAGGAAAAGTCCTAGTGGAGTCCATCTCCTTGCGGGATATAATCTTTTGATAGAGGATACAGTGTATAAAAATGTATCAGAGGTTTCTTTAGTATTGGTGATAGACACTTCACAAACCTGGGTGCTCTGTATATCTGAAAACAAATAAAAAGGGTAAAAGAATATCTGAGGGTATGTCTATATTACAGAGTTTTTCCGGAAAAAAACATCATTTTTCCAAAAAAAACCTTCAATTACGTCCACACTGCATTCACGTTCGTTTGAAAGAAAATCGAAAGAACAGAGGGGGTTTTCTGACAGTGGTAAACCTCTTTCTATGAGGAAGAAGCCTTTTTCTGAAAGAGCTCTTTTGGAAAAAGGCATATGTGCACGGGGATGAGGGTTTTCTTTCGAAAGAAGAGACCTCCAGGAAATAACACAGGTGCCCTGGAGGATACTCCATCCAAAGTAATCACAACTCTATAGTTCCTCTCTCCTGGTCCCTCTTAAAGCTGCAGGCAGCCTGGACAAGCCTTGTGGCAGGAAGAGGGGCAGCACCCTGACCCCCTGGCTCTTCCTGCCACCCAGAATCGGAGCTATGGCCAAGCCACAAGCCCCACAAGACCACCCTGGCCCTCACAGGGAGCAGCCCCAGTGCTCACAGGACCCACCCAGGGGGACGAAGAGGCAGGCACCCTCCTGGTCCAGAGCAGAGATCCTGTCCCTCCTCGAGCTGTGGGGCGAGGAGGAGACACTGCAGAATCTCCGCTCCGAGACTTGCTTCCAGGACATCCCCCTCCTCTGGCTCGAGGACTGTTGGTCGCTGCTCACAGAGGAGGGCACGGTCTCAGGGACAGCTTCTGCATGGATGACTGACCACTTATTCCTCTGTGTGTTCTCCACAGATGGCTAAATTGGGACTGAGGGGCGAGCCACACCAATTGAGTCTACGGTACCCGAAAGCACGCCAAGGCCCATGAAGACCTGCTGCGGCAGCAAGTCAGCATTCTGCGTGACATGCAGCAGACCCTGGCACAGAAGATCCAGGAGGACGCAGAGTGGCGGAACTGCGCCTCGGACCAGCTCATGCAACAGTGCAATAGCACGTGTGCCATCATGAAGGAAATGATGGCACACCTGGATGCTATCATTGCTCCTGCCTACCACACTCCTGCCCCCCACCTGCTATGTCCATTCCCCCTCCGCTGTCCCCCAAGCGATGCCTATGCCTCTTCCTCAACTTGTTGCCCACCAACCAGTAACTGTCTGGGTTGGCGAGCTTCCAGATGACAATGGCAACCCACTTCTCCAGGGGGATGGCGAGCTGCAGGTGGGCGTCATGTTGTCAGAGGGCAGGGGCGAGCCAGGGGCACAGCTCCAAAAAAGATGGCCTTCTGCATGCAGAAATTTTGGAGCCACTGCTGGTCATCCCACTACTCCGTGACCAGCCAGTCCCACCACTCCAAACTGGTGTCCAGCCTCCAGAAACACCTCTCCAATGAGGGTTGCAGTGGCAAGGGTGTTGCTTCCGCACCCAGGGAGTGGGTCCCCAGAATGAGCTCAGGGTCAAGCTCAGTCAGGACCAGGAAGGCAGCTGGCACAAAGTGCTGCAGAAACTGCAGCATGGCCGTGTGGGGCCATCACATGCCCAGGGGCAGCTCCGGCTGCATGGCACAAAGGAAAAAGCTGTGGCATCCAAAAAAGCTGGGCTACCACAGCAGGCACAGTGAGAGCTTTGCTGTTCCTCAAAGAGGTAGGCAAGTACGCAGCAGAAGCAGAGAAATGACTGTCCAGCAGGGTCCCTTTAAGATCATGTCCCTGCTAGGCTCCAGCACCAGCACTCGGAAGCTACTTCTGGCCTAATGCCCTGCCTGAACTGTTTCTGGGTGGCCTTTTATGCGAGATAGCATCCAATCAGTGTGAACGTTATCTTTTGAAAAGCAGATCACTTTTTCGATGTGCTTTGGCAGTGTGGATGCACTCTTTTGGAAGAATGTTCTTTGGAAGATCTCTTTCGGAAAAGCTTCTTCCAAAAGAAGCCTGCAGTCTAGATGTAGTGTGACGGTAGTATCCAAGATTGGGCCCGTACGGTGCAATATAATAAAAGGTATTGTAATACTGATTATCAAAAAGGATCCATCCTGGGATGGTATAGGTCAGGATGGAGCATGTTTGCCAGCATGGACTCCAGTTGTAGTAAGATGGCCTTTGCTACAACCTTGTAGTCTGTGCTGAGGAGCAAAACAGGATGCCAGGTCCAAGGTCACGGAGGTCCCCCTTCTTTGGCAGCAAGGCGAGCATGACTCACCTGCACAACTGAGGGAGGACCCCACTCTCCAAGGACTCAGCTCAGACAGTGACAAGGTCTGGGCTAAAGATGTCCAAGAACATGTGGCAGAATTCTACAGTCAGCCCATCCATGCCCAGGGTTTCTTGGTGGGCATGAGACAGAGCTTTCAATAACTTGGCCAGAGGCAGCTCCAGCTGGTCTCTGTCGCCCACACTGACGACTGGGAGTCCAGAGCAGCCTGCAGGTATTGGCCAGATCTGGGGAGAAGAGGTTGGTGTAGAAGGCCCTGAGCTCATCCAGGCATCTCCTCTAGATTGATGAGAGGGAGACCATCTTCCACAAAGAGGAAAGTGACATGATTTGTCCCCCTCTTTTTCTCCAGGGTGTAGAAGTGGAATTGAATGAATGTGCCCTGGTCTCATGGTCTTCCAGGATCCAGAGCTCCTCCCACTT